CAATACGCTTTTAGAGGCTCTTGTGTTTTTCTAAGAAGCACCTTCGAACATACAATAGTTGTCAACGGGAAGATTCATTAGATGAATTGAATCCCTATCAGTGGAAGTGGTTAACGTAGAATATCACTAATAGAAACCCATATGTTCAGAATAAAGTTGATCCAAAAGTAAGCACGAAGAAAGAAACGAGATTCACAAGTGATTTGACTCTTTATTTTATGTAGTCAATAGTTGAGAATTGCGTTCGTAGTTTTCTTCTCTTAATTAAACTTTGGTGAAGAAACTAAACTAAAATTAGCATAGCATGCGTTTGGATAAGGCCTGTGTCTCACACACGCCGTATACTTTAGCTTTAGCATACGTACGAGGCCTGTGGCAGCCACACGCAATGTCACCCAAAATTTCAGCCTTCTTTCTTAACTCGACCCGTAATGAGGCCTACGGTGCGCACACGCCACTGAAATGATAGGTGGGTCAAAAGTGAGAGCAACTTTTTCATTTTGTTATTTTAGTAATTATTCGGCGGGGTGGGCAGAGAACAAACGGTGGACCCAAACAACACATATCGCTTTAATTTCTCTTTATCTGGAATCTCCACAGCACCTACCTACCACCCTTTTTTTCTTAATAATAATAATCTCAATTTACAAGTATATCACTAATTTTGATTGACCCCCTCGTCTTCCTTTATATATAAATACCCGGCCTTTTCCTCACTCTCAGACTTCATCCCGTGGGGCAGGCAGCCAAGAGATATTTCAATAGAATCGCTTTAGCTTAGCTTGAGAGACTCACTAAACTAGTTAAACAAAAATGGCAAATCAAAATCAAAATGGGTATGCGGACTTGGAGAAGCAGATGCTGATCCTGCATGACCATGAAGAGAAGCACTTCATGTCGAGTGAGATTGTGCGTGACGTCATTCTTGGAGTATCGGACGGTCTCACCGTCCCTTTTGCCCTCGCCGCCGGGTTGTCCGGTGCGGATGTCAGCTCCTCCATCATTCTCATTGCTGGCATTGCTGAAGTTGCCGCTGGTGCTATCTCCATGGGGCTCGGCGGGTATTAATTAATATTATTTAAATGAATTTTCAAAGAGATTTTGTTTTTCATTTATTATTAATTTTTTTGGTAATAAAAGCAAGATGCATGGCTTTGCAGGTACCTTGCTGCTAAGAGCGAAGCTGATCATTACATGAAAGAACTAAAGAGGGAACAAGATGAAATCATCGCTGTCCCTGATACAGGTCTCTCTACATCAACATTATAATTTTACCATATTATTATATATTAATTATTTAGCTCTGACTCTCTGACTCTGAGAGTGTGCAGACAGAATTCACGAGCTATATATATTTATTTATAGGCTGCCTGCCAGGTTAAGATCATGTGAACCTCTTTTAAATTTACACTGTATCTGAATATGATTGATGGGGTTCTTTTTACTTTTTTAAATGATTTGCTCCTTAATTATGTGTATATATGCTTAAATATATGATTGGAACATAATTAACATATTAAATAAAGTTGTTATATTATGAATGAAACGCAGAGGCTGCTGAGGTTGCGGAAATATTGTCACAGTATGGGGCTGAACCACATGAGTATGGGCCTGTGGTGAATGCTCTAAGGAGGAATCCACAAGCCTGGCTTGATTTCATGATGAAGTAGGTTAATTTGAGTATAAGCTTATTAATTCACTGATTTATCAACTAATTATTTATTAATTAATTATATGGCCGGGATCATTGGGTGGGTGGGTGCAGATTTGAACTGGGACTGGAGAAACCAGACCCGATGAGAGCCGTACAGAGTGCAATGACAATTGCGTTTTCATACATAATTGGAGGGCTGGTGCCCCTCGTGCCATACATGCTCATTCCAAATGCAACAAGGGCTGTGGTTGCATCTGTCATCCTAACCATCGTGGCTTTGATGATTTTTGGCTTTGCAAAGGGTCACTTCACGGGCACCCAACCCTTCAAGAGTGCCCTACAAACTGCCTTCATTGGGGCCATTGCCTCTGCCGCTGCTTATTCCATTGCTAAACTTTTCCAAGCATACCACCATTAATATTAATTAGTTTCAACTTTTTTTGTTTTTTTCATTTAAATTACATGTCTTATTAATTAACTTCATCTTTCTGCTCCTATATATCCGTTAATTTCTAGCTCAATCTGCGTGGTACAATATTAATTTGCTGCTAGTGTACTGGTTGTTCCATGGTTTAATTAATCTATATATAGCTTGAAATATTCCTTCCTTTCTTTGGAAAATGACAACAACAAAAAGTTACATCAACATAATTAATAATATTAATATTAATTGGTGTTCAAACAATATCGTTGAATAAATCAGAGCTGCAGAATCCGAAGTAATATTCCATACACACCACACCACCTGCAATGCCAAAGGCTGCAAGGCCTGCACCAATATTACATTGACTGTCTTTATCAGCACATCATTTCTTAATTAATAATTTCATCCACCTCCATTTCCATCCAGTTCCATAGATGCCACGTATCCGCAGAACCCTTGGATATGTTTCTGCATGTTGGAAGGCAGGTTGCTCTTCCTTCTTCTGATCGCTACTTCTTGAGTAATTGTTATTTTTATGTTGCCATCATTGTAATTGTTAATTACCAGCCAAAGCCAAACAAATATCCTATAATTTTGAGCATCCTTTTCACCAACCCCATTAGAGCGGGAACGTGCGCATATAGTTATCCAACCAAGATGAATTATTGTTTGGTGGTGGGACTGGATTTTGTAAAATGGATAACAGTTCAACATGTTGTGTCTTGCAATAAGTTCTACTTAAAGAGGTAAGACTCAATAAGTTCCACTTACAACATATTGTGTCTTACATAATATACTAAAAACTATTAAAATGTTAAATTCAACTCGTCGCTGTTGAAGACAGTTGAATGTAACTTGACACTATTTTTTATAAAATTATTTTATAAAGGACTAAATGTAGCCTTCCTCACCCAGAGATGCAAACTTGGCTTCTTCTTCTTTTGGGAAAGATGCAAGCGCGGGATTTAGGAGATTAATGAATTTGGGTTTGGACATTAATTCCGGATCAACTAGAAGTACATGCAATGTATTTGTAATGATTCAATGAATTTGAAATTACTAGTATAATAACACAATAGAACCAAATCTCTTAACTTATTAATCAATTGATTGATATATATATAATGGTTTTTAGCTCATATAAGGAAAATACAACTCGAATCAAATCGCACATTTTAATCCTGCACAAATCCCAAGCACACCACTCGTTTTATATTCAAGCCATTTTCGAGTTGAGTACGGGTTACCTTAAATTCTTTGAAAGAAAAAAACGTTCGTTAATCTAGCTTAGTGATATTTTTCTTTATAATGTTAGAATACATCTTAAATTCGAATTAATAATAAGTGAAACGCGTGACTTGACCATGATACAACACAACTTTATGATTCCCATTGTTACTGGCATTTGGTTTGGAGATTCGAATTTAAACTTGATACAATTTTGAGAATATAAATATTACTAAAATAGTAGCAAATGAGTCATTGTCATCCTTCTATTTTTAATGAAATGAAATCAGAATGCAATTGTAAAAAACGAGGAAAAGAATAATGAAGGCGGCAAAACGCATAATAACGCACAGCACGCAAAAGTACTTACATGTAACGGGAATAATATTGTTTTGTTATTTCTGTCAATAACACAATAACACTTGAAAAATTTATACTACATGTCATTTCGTTATTGACCGAAAATAACAAAAAATGGTAATCCCGTTGAGAGTTTCTATCCACAGCACTGGAGCATAATGACGTCGGTGGGTGTATAAATAGGTAGGGTGTCAGAGCACTTCCACCAGTTAGCCCCTTGCCATGGCAAGGGGAGCCCTAGGGCGGATACTATTCACGTGAATAGTGGCTGCCCTAGCACCAAAAAAAAAATTGTGTTTCCAGCAGTGCAAGGCTTGCCATGGCAAATACTATTCATTTTTTTGTTTTTTTACAACTTTGTTTACTTAAACAATTAATTTGGATAATATTTTCGGATAAGAGTTTTGGGTTCCTACGTATGAAAAATCATTTTCTCAAGATTTTTAGCGGGGGTGCAATATTGACTAAGTATGAAAAATGGTTTTTTGAAATAATCATTTTCTCAAGAAAATTTTTGGCGGCTTTTATTCCTTACACATCAAATAAGAAAACTTGATTTTATGGGATTTTAATATGAAGTATATATTGACTTAATGAGCCATCATTTTTAG